GTCGCCCAAGCACCCACCCACTCACATGACGAGTTTTGCCTGTCAGCAGCTTGGGGAGCAGCTCCCAAACCCCTGCACTGATTTTCTTGAAACTTAGCAGGCTTTGTGGCCTCACCAGGGGCTAGCATCCCTGCAGTTTTCAGCCCCCTGTGGTTTAATACGTAGATGTGACAGCAGTTTTGCTTTCAAGAATTTGGGGTGCAGTTCCCCCCAAACCCCTGCACCGATCTTCTTGAAACTTGGCAGGCTTCATGCACTTAGCAGAGGCTACCACCCCTGCACGTTGCACCTAAATCAGAGCTAAAATGACAAAGTTATAGATATTTAATTCATCCCCTATCACAGCCTATAGCTGGATCTCCAAAGTGGCTCCGAAGCTTCGGAGCCACTTCAGCCAGATTGAAATGGCAGACTGATCTGGAGCTCCGGAGTGGACTGCAGCCATCCAAAGCAGCTGAATCCAAAGCCAGACTGGATCGCTGCCGACTCGCACAGGCCTAGTTTCTACGTCTTTTGCACTCCAACACAGGTTATGTTTATTGTGCAATTAGCCAGTTAACTAATCTAAATGCATTATTCAATTAGGCATGTAAAATAATTATAGAATGATAAAAATAACTATCCAACTATAAAAACAGCTCTATGTTGCTTGAAAAATGTTGAATGTTTTTGTAGATGGTTTCTATCAAGTTTTAATTTGAACACGTGGAATATCACACATTGGGTGATAGTTCTTTGCCAGGCTCTCTGGTATCTCAAGGTGCACTGATCTCCATCACCTCATAGGACACTTAACTGGAAAAGCAACCAGCCCTTGGCTATCAATCCTACCCCTCTCTAGTGGAGGTTCTCCATCCCCCAAGACTTTGTCAAAAAGTGAGAAAACCTTCGACAGGCACAGAGCAAGGCACTGGGCATTCCCTCTCCCTCTGCTGGGCAGGGTAGAGGAAAACAAGCTTCCAAGCAAAGAGCCAGCCTCCATGCTGGTAACCCCTTCCCAACCTGAAGCATGCATAACGGTTGCTTCCCTTTCCCTGCTCTGAGCAAAGTGCAAAGTAGGCCAGAATTTCTCAACAGCACAGAGCCATGTGTGCAAGCAAACCTGTACCCCAGAGTGCAAAGTGAGCAGGGGAATCTTCAGGGCACGTGGGAAAACCCTTGCCCCCAGGACAGAGCATGCTCCAGGGGTTCCCCCCCTCTCCTCACAAAATGCAGTGGGGGAGGTTTCCCCATGTGCATGGCTCCATGTGGGGGCAGGAGGAGAGGGAGGGAAGTCCCAGGCTGTGCTCTACGCTGGGGCAAAGGTTTTGCCCACCTATAGCTCTGTACGGGGGGAGGAAGGGGGAGTCAATTTCCCCCTCATTCTGTGCTTTTCTCAGCATGGGGAGAGAGAGGGAATCCATGTTGAACTCACAGAGCTCTATCGCTGGATGTCAGCAGCAGCAGTGAGAACTGGCATGCCACTTTTCCTTTTCTTCCTCCCCTTGACAGCCTTCCCTTTGCACATGTAGCTGTGCACATGATGCAATGTTTTCATAGTGCAAAAAAAGCCATGATATAATTGATATAATGTCTTCCACAGGCCTTGGAGATTTGGGTCAGATGGATATCCAAAAACAAATATTTGTTTTTTCTGCTCTCCCTTCTGTTTGGTCTCCCAGCTTCCCAGTTCACAGGCAGTACTGTAGCAAGGGGGGCAAGCGGGGTGACCACCCCAGGCATCCAAGCTAAGGGGAGCCAACAGGAAGATTTTAGGAGCAAGTGAGAGAAATGCTTGTCATCATCATCCTACCCTAACAGCCATTAACCATGCATTGAAGTTTTAAGAATAATTCACAGATGATGTGGCTAACAGAGCTGTTAAAGTTTCCAGAAATGCCTTTTAAAATGCAGAAGAAATGCTGTATATACTGCTTGTCCAGAAGTGCATGCAGTGGCAGAAGCCACCCTTCCCCTGTTCCCATGCACCCCGCCCCTCACCCTCCCGCTGCTAAATGAGCCCCTGGTGCACAGGGCTGCATTGAGGGCAGCGGTATGGGGCTGTGCCCCTCAAAGCAGCAGCAGGCACTGGAGGTGCATTGCCAGTGCAACAGGGGGACAGCTTGCAGCACACTGGGTTGTGCCTGCTGGGCTGGGCGGGCCATGGGGGAGGGAAGCAAGGCAGGAGCTTGAGCCTGCAGCCTGCACCTGCCCCGAGTAGAGATCTGGGGGGTGCAGGTGCCCCGTTCCCCCCAGGAGTGCGCAGCAGCAAGGAGTCGGCCCTGCCCCTCCCCCGGACAAGCCACCTGCAGCCCCATCCTGCTCCCAGCTCGGGTCCTGAAGCCATACGTTGTGGCCCCAAGCCCCACCTGGCTGGGCAGCATCATCAGCCTGTGCCTGCTCCAGGTACAGATCTGGGGGGCGCATGTTCCCCCTGCCCCCTGGGAGTGCATGCAGCAGCAGAGAGCCACCCCACCTGAGCCCACAGGAGGAAAGGAACAGGGGCAGGGGGCTGCAGACCTGGGTCCATAGCCCAGGCAGCTGGGGGAGCAGAGGCTGTGGGTGGGGGGCAAGGGGCACCAGCATGGCTGTGGGTGTACCTTTAATTTTAATCACGTATCTTGTGGGTTTTAGCAGAGAATTTGTGATTTTTTAGCAGAAAATTTGGTATTTTTGATATCAGAGAAAACCAGGATCCCTGGTGATAAGTTACTGTACCTTTGATTCTTCCCAGTCTACTCATTAAGGCAGACTGGGAAAATAAAAATAGCAATTATTTTGGTTGTTTCCCTTTTCATTCTGGATGAAACAATTTCTAGAAAAGTCAGGCTGTTATGTTATAGGCTTGAGTTAGATTTAAAATATTCTGTGTCTGCAAGGGGAATATCCATTTGCAATAAGTATCATTTACACAGTCAACTGCAAAGCATGTTGCCAGATTTCCCATCTGGTTTAATAACTCTCATACCAGGGTTCTGGCCATGGGTTTTGTCTTGCCCAAAATGTGAAAAGGTATGGGGACTGTGCCTTTTGAAACATACTAGTACCCCTGCTACTGGGTTGTAGAAGTATAGCCCCCTCTGCAGCACTATACTAACTGTATGAAATACTGCTGTACAAAAGTTAACAAATGCATCTCAAGTTTCCTCACATCAAAACAGTAAGTGACAATTTAGGATGTATCATCTGTGTACCTATGAACTTTATTTAAGAAAAATGTGATCAGATTTGCAACTAGTACCAATGTCAACATGAACAGATCTAGGTTTTTGTACACAGGGGTGCAGAGGAAGCTATAACTGCTACAAGGGTTGCTGCCCCCTACTCCTGGCCTCTCCCCGACACTGCCCCTGTGGCATGGTCTGCCCATTCCAATCACAGGGGCCTTTAAGTCCCTGAATCAGGTAAGCACTGTGTCCCTGCTCCCAGCCCGGCATCCCCTCTCTTCCCTCCCATGCTCAGAGACTTCCATCCCCTCCCCTCCCCTCAAATCCTTCCTATCCCCCAGTGATGCTGCTGCTGCCCCTGAACACCCAGGAGGGAGCAATAGGGTGGCCTCCAGAGCCATTATTTCCATTCTCCAGCCAGGCTACACAGGGCGTCAAGCTCAGCTGGGGACAGCAGCAGGCACTTCCTAAGCATGTTCCTGGGCTAGAAGGAGAACACCTGGGGGAACCAGGCAGGCATTTTAAATTGGTGACTGTAGCTTGGCGACTACATTGGTAACTGTAGCTTGAAGCTACTAGATACTTTGAGCCAGTGACTCTCAACTAGGGTGCCACAGGGTAACACATAATACTAGCACTGTTAGATATGCTTACACTTGCATCTGATTCACAGAATAAATCCAAAGATTTCAAATAGAAATCCATAATGAAAAAAATCTCACTTTGTATAGTTTTTGAGTTCTTTGCAACAGAATTGCTCTATTTTTCCATGGGGAAGGAGGGAGGAAGTAATGAAAGCTAAGAGCCTGAATTTTCTGAGGGGTGCCTCGAGTCTAAAAAGGTTGAGAACCACCATTCTAGGCATGTTTAAAAATTAAACAATAAATTTAGAAAAAAAGGTCTTTTGCAGAGAGAAGAAAGTCTTTTCTGTGGAAATCTCTTCCTCTCAAGAATGTCAGAATTCTTTTCTCTCTAATAATCTAAAGAATAATCTTTGAAACCAAAAACTGACATTTTGCAGAATCATCTTTTAGGAGAGGTGTGGTGCACCTGTGGCAGGTGTGCCACAGGCAATGTCTGAGTGGCACAGAGACAGGCAGCACAACAGCAGATGGGGCATGGGACAGAAAGGAGAGCAGCTGATGGGCCAGGGTAAGGGGATTGTGATGGTGCAGAGATCATTTTGGGCATTCCTAACCAAAACGTTGGCCCATCACTGTTTTAGGATTACCAGAACTCTGCCAGTTACTTGTCTAGCTCGGTACACATGAAAGAAGTCCTCTCAATTCATTTTAAGCAGCTCATATTTTTTACATGCCAAGAAAAGGCAGCCAAATTTTCCTCACTGCATGTGAACTATTTTCCCCAAGGCCTGCCAAGCACCTTGCATGAACACAAGGGAAAAAAAGTTAATAGGAAGTAGATGAGCAAAGGCAGATGAATTTTACTATGAGCAGAAATCTATATGCTTTGAGCAGTATTTGCAGAGGGAAGAGAAATATTGTTTCTTGCTCCTTTCTTGGAACTTATTTAATAGGATCTCTCACCTGCATCACATTAGATGCTGATTCTTTAATTTAACAATCTTTTCTGAAAAGCAAGACGACACCTACATGTATTTTTGTAGGGTTAGAAATAGAGGAACTCACTGGCCCAAACAAAACATACTGAATGGAAGTTTGGACAGTATAAGGGGCTATGGTAAGAATTAATATACAAGAATAAATATTTAGACAGCATTATAAGTAACTGTACAGGAAAAGTAAAATCACAACACAGTAAAGGCAGACACGAATATTGTCTTAGCTCCACCAACTCCTGTCCCAAATTTTGTTTCCTTTATAGTACACTAACCTGTTGCAGTAATCTTTTCAGTTTCAGTAACTGAGTTTTTACAGCTGTGCAGTCTTGGACCATGTGCCGAAGTGTCATTTCATCAAGCATCACGGTATTTTCTGGTAAACCCACAAATTGTCTAGGAGCCTGGTAAAAGTTTGGTGTTCCATAATTTTCAAAGTGACCAACTGGAGACTCTGCGTACTTGGATCCTCTGAAAGAATTCATTTTAATATTAAGAATAGAATCTTTGTCTGAAGCTCAAAACTTTTTGCTGTTACACATTTTTCAGTTGCACATTTTAATAGTGTGTGTGTGCGTGCAGGTTCATAATCATAAAACACTAACACTCATTTTTAAAGCAACAAAGTACAAAGTGGAATAATTTATATTTCATAGATCTCAGGCTAAGTTTGGACAGTTAAAAACCCTGACACTAAATCTATTCAATCTTCACAGGTTAGTCCAAGCTGCGTATATTGAACTGATAAGCAAGTGAACAGACAATCACTTTTGATTCCAGGAATGAAGCCACATGCCTGCAGTGGTTCAGGCCAGAAGCTAGGGAGCGCTAGAACACACTTCCTTGATCACCTGGAGCAGACATCTGGGGGCAAGGCTAGCCTGCCCATCCAGGGGGTAGGGGCTTATGGGGGAGGATTTTGTGGGTGAGGTGCAAAGCATCCTGGGATGCTGAGGGCCTGTGAGTTAACTTGAATCTGGAGGGGATCTGGGACAGAAGTTCAATCAATGGATTTAACCTAAATCAGTTAAGTCTGATACTACATCCATCCAGGTTCATCTTAAACTGGTCTCAGCCATTTTGAAAGCAGTTTATATGCACTGAACTTCTGTTTTGTTACAGATCTGAACCAATTTACAATCACTTTTACTGGTTTGCCTAACTTCTGTCCCTAGCTTAGCTATCCTAAATCTCTACTGGAGAAAAAGATCTAAAAAAATTATTACTGTTATCTTCATACTAAATTCTAGAAATGTAGCACTATAAACAAGAATGTCTAATAATCTTAATTCCCAGTAATCACGGAATCCATTCACACCTGCACACTCACAAATATTTATTATATAAGTTGGCTTACAAAAAAACTACCATGTTTTTTAATTTTTTAATACAAAGGTAAAAACTACTTAATCTAAAAACCACCCCAACAACCCAAAACAATAAAAGAAGGGATTTTTCTTTTAATACACGTGATTGGGCATTTACAACATTTCCTAATCCACATGGAAACAACATGCTTCAGTTTCCAAGTTGGTGTCAGCCTAAGGTAAAATTGGTCATACATGTATTAAGAGCTTTTGAAAAAGCTTTGGGTTTAAAGGAAGAAATTTATAGCATAAATCTGAATGTTCTCAAAATAAACTAGTTATGGGCAGGGTTCAACAAAAAATATTACATCCTCCATTTCATCTGAAATGCTCTACTGGCAAAAGAAACTACACATTGTAATACATTAATTTCTAAAAAATATATTACAAAGTTACACAACAATTCCTTACCTGCTAATATCATTTTTACCATGGAGATAGTGGTCAGTATGGCCAAGATTATAATGATCTTGTGCACTCCAACGTTGTTGCGTCCTCTTCCAGAATCCCTCTGACTGTTTACGGGCATTTCTGTCTTGTCTATCATAACGGTTCATATTTTTACATTCCACTACAAAGATTTAAGGTTATTATGTCTAACACATTTTACATATTCATTATCTACATAAATACAAGTAAATCTTAAAGGCTGCTAACAGGTGCACAGTCGAATCTCAACCTTTTTTCAATTCAAACTGAACACAAATATAAACTGAAAATATAAGAAGAATTATTCTAAGATAGCACCTATAGTGTTTTTGGTTTGGGTTTTTGTTGGGTTTTTTACTATCACTGTAGCAATTTCTATGTTTATATTCTAAAAATAAACAATTTTAGATTACTAAAATCTGTAGTAGAATCTATAGGCCTTAAGGCTTTTCACATGCCAAATCCTACAGGAAGATCACTTTTAAAAACATTTATCAAGAGATAACAACACACAAACAGAGAAAGACAACATTTTAGAAAGCAGCAAAATACTTTTCTATTTAGAAAAAGTATCCAGAGGTAGCTACCAGCCTGACTTTTCTTTTCCAACTTGAAGAAAGTTTTACTCATAGACTTTACCGAAACACTCCCAATATTTTAAAAAAAACTTTCTGGTCACATAAACACTTCACGAGAACTCTCTGGCAACAGCTTGTAAAGGACTACAAACAAAGCCAAAGCCAAACTGCAATCCCTACAGTCATACAAAGCAAAAAGATTAAAGTTACAAACTACTGTTCTATCTCTTCCACTTACCCAAAAAGCTTTTGCTCACATTGTCAACCCCTTGTCAGACGAGCACAACATAATACTGTTTTATTCTGGTGCCTACTCAGACATAGTTTCACATAAGACATCGATAAACAGGCCTTCCTTCCTACTTAGTTCCGAGCCTGCGTGTGGTTGGGAAACGAGCCCAGTTTTACCCTGTGATTTAAATTCCTATCCTCGTTCTCTATGTACATACTTGTTGAAGTAGAACTGTTTCTATAAATAGTGTCTCAGCGCTAACCCAGACTCCGGAGACTAGAACGAGGAAAGTTTTTGGAAGCCTGTTAATAAGTCTTGAAGGTGCTGATGTCAGTTACAATCATGTATAAATCAGAATGACCACAGGCAAGTAAATTAAAAAAAAAAACTCAGTTTAATCCTAAATTAAAGTTTTGTTGTAATAATCATACTTAGTCTTCTTTTGTAACTGCCAATTCTATAACAAAACTCTGAGTTGGGAAGAAAACTTTATATAACTGCTCACTTTAAAAAAAGGATTACAGAATCATTTTAAAATGCCTCCTACAGCTCATTATGCACAAGTACAAAATAAAACAAAAACACCCAGGAATTTATTTAGAAGTATGAATCTCAAGCAAAAATAATGATCTGATGTTTGTCTATTGACATTTAAACATTGTAATTCACTTTTCTGACCTAAATTCCCATGAAAACAAAAATATTGTGTTTTATGTATACATACCACACACAACTTTAAGAGCATCTTCACTAAGGTTCTTAACACACCCACAAGCATTTTATATTAAAATACCATCCTAAAAACACCAGAGAGCTCAGAGATTGCCTGATATTATAATTTATTAATTAAAAAAACAGCACTCTCTCATGCCACTAGTTGAAACAATATGAACTTCTACATTCTTAAATTATGTCCTGGATACAAAGTGATTAAGGAATTCTAATTTTTGCTGGGATTTGCTAGTGATTTAAATTTGTATACTGAAGCATTAAAAAAAAATATCAATAAAACATAAGATGTTTACATTTAAATTTCACTTGTAGCAAGATTAACTGTCAGGTATATTAAACTTTTTGAACACAGGTAGCTTTCCTTTTTTTAAACAGTCATTAACAGGTTCTGTATGAGGTCGTTCAAATTCAACTGTTGCTGCATTTACATTTTAAGAATTTATAAAAGATAGGTTTTATCAATAAATAGATCCATCTTTAAAAAAGAATTCCTTTCATATTTTCTAATGAAATAACCACAATTAATAAATTCATGAACTATTTGACTATTACAACAGTTTTCTCACAAAATGGAAGTTTGGTGGAAGTGATATTTGCCACTGATGCAATTTTTTGTGTGTTCTATAAAAGCTGATTTTTTGTCAATTACAAGATGATAAAAATTGCACTTTGTCTATTCCCAATAAATTGTGTGATCTGCCACTGATTAGAAGGATGGCAAATTATTTATTTACCGCTTGCTAACTTAGCTGTGAAGTGCACACACACCTCTCCATTGCATATGGACTTTTCACATCTATCATAATGTTTTCCAGAGTAATAACATACTGTATTTTATTTCATATAACCCACAGTTTCCCCAAAAGAACATCAGGTAAAAAGCTAACTGCTGCAGTTCTGGGAGCCACAAATTAACCATAAATTAATACTGCCACCACTCCCCCTTCCCACTGCAAATTTGCAGAACCATGGGGAGCACACACCACCTGCCAGCCCTCTGCACCTTAGGTCAGGCCACCATGTAGAGTTGGTCCATGGCTGGACCCCAGTGAGGTCAGAGCATGGGGCTGGCTGGATGTAGCACATGGTTCTGGAGCCAGTAGGTGACCCTAGACTCAGCATGATACAGCTGACTTTGCATTCTGGCTCCAAAGCCATGTGTCATGTGCTAGATCAGTTACCTTCCCTTCAAGATAATATTGTTTTCCCTTTGTCCCAAGATGCCTGTATAAACCAGGGTGTGTACTACATTCAGGAGCATGGTATATAAACCAGGGTGTATACTATATTCAGTAGCATGGTGTATGCAGGAAAATATTGCATCTGTAACTGCTGAGTTTTGAGTAGAATATTTTTAATTAATTTGTACATAGCAAAGTGGCCCAGTCCCTTCAACCGCAAAACTTAACTTAACCTTAACTACAGTTGTGACTCTCACTTTCATATTAGATACACGTATTACATTCTTGACCTGGAGACTTTTGTTGATGTACAATGTTCAAGAAACTGCTTCACTAACCATTTTCACAAGGTGTGTCCTCAGGCAGGTCCACATCAAGCATGAGATCATCATCTTCAAGATCACATGAATCAAGGTTATTTAAGATATCCTTTTAAAAAAAAGAATGAGAAAGAACGGTGCATTCTAATCAACGATGTCACTAATACTCACTTTATCTTGGTCATTAAATAGTTTATTGTACATTTACCTTTCATACATGTCCAACATTGACGATACAGATCTTTCTCTAATTGTGAAATAAATGCTACTTGAGATGATTCATTTACAAAGACTAGCAATTAATAGCATTTCTAGCTGCTTTATACATTGACAAGCTATAAAATTTAACAATAAACGTTTTGTACCTTGAATATTGAGGTTGTTACAATGGTCTTTCAGTTTATTGACTTTATACTTTTCCCTAATATTTCTCCAAACGGAAAAAAAATTAAAAACTCTGTGCATGTGCAAAATAAGTCTACTTATTTTAATGAGATAATATAAACTGTAAGATCCTAGTTTGAAAAGTCTTAACTTCTTAAAAGGTGAAAAAAGTACAAGTACAGCTGTCCATCAACAATAATCAAAAGAATGAACTTTTGTACAACTTCACAGCAATACCCAGTATGAAAAAAAATGAGTGAAGTAGTAAATACTGGAACTAGCATGACGTTACTCAAGGTACCGGATTTATTAGTCTGTCCCAATCCTACTGAAGTTAAACCAGCATAAATAACCATAAGTTTAAGTATAATTTGGCAAGATATTCCACCATGGTTTACTCAAAACTCATTTCCTTTGCCATTGCCAAAGTGAGAGTTTTAGCAGCAGATGGAATCCTAGCAATAGAAGCTGGTAAGTTTAGCTGTAACCCCTCTATATAACCCAGTTGTCTATAACCCAGACCTAAGTATTTGGAAAGATCATGGAAATGAAAATAGAGAGTCAATCAACAGAAGTCATGGGTTGAGAATATTAATTAGGATTCCAATACAAATATACATGTCTTTTTTTCAGTTGAAAACAAAATCATACACAATATGCAACTGACACATCCCTTTTCTCAATCATGCAAGCTTCCAAGGTAAAACAAAATAAACATGGTCCCTTGCTTTGAATGAGAAGGTAGACGAGGTAGAACTCCAAAGGCACATGAAAGGAGGCAAGAAACAGGACACCTCCATTATTCCTGCCAGGATAACTCTGGGGTCAGTTTAGGTAGCCATCCTAATTGGTCACCAAGGCATCCAATAAGGTTCCAGCCATTACATCCAGTGACATCCCTGCCATATTGCCACCTCCTCCAACAAAACAAATTCTAATTCCCTCCACATCATCAAAAGCAACACCTAGTCATGTTAAAAGAATCAGAGAAGTAGGCTGGAATGGATCTCTGGTGGAGGTCATCTAGTCCAACCCCCTGCCTAAGGCAGAATCAACCCTACCCAAACAACCCTATGCAAATCCATGGTCTAACTCTAACCAATCAGCAAAACTACAAAGTCAACCCTAACACAAGATGTAACACCCTAACATAACATAGGTAAAGCATGGGGACCACAAGGGCCAACATCCTGCTGCTGCATAATGGCTTAAACTATGCTGGAGAGATTCAAGGAAGAGACCTACATCCCCAGCTAGGGGAAAGCAAAATGTGTAGAAACTTGAGACAGTTCAGAGAAGATCGGAGGCCTGAAGAGCAAGCCATACGAGGAAAGGCTGACAAATATAGAACTGTTCAGCCTAGAAAAGAGAAGACTTCAAGGGAAGATTTGGTGGCAGCTTGCAAATATATCAGAGGAGAACATCAGGGGCTAGGCAATCAACTATTCACCAAAGTGCCCCAGGGGAAAACTAGGAGCAACCGTCATAAACTCCTAGAAGATGGTTTCAGACTGGATACAAGGAAAAGCCCCTATAATCCACACCAATCTGACTAGGGTAAAACTCCTTCCTGACCCCAAATATGGCAATCAGACTAACCTTGAGCAGAGAGACAAATCCCTCAAGCCAGGAATCTCCAGGTTTGAGTCCCAGAAGGAACACTGGCATACCCCAGTCAAAATCCTCAGCCTTGGCTGTATCCAATGCTCAATGCTTCTGAAGAAGGTCGAAAAAAAAGATACCCTGACACAACAGCAAGAGGAAAAAAACAATTCCTTCCCAGTCCTATGTGAGAACCAGTAAAGCGCAGAAGCATGGGGATTACCTACAGTAGGGGATGGACATAGCTAAATCATCTCAGACCAATGCTTATCCAGCCTCTTCTTGAACAACTTTAGTGACAGAGGTTCCACAACTTCCCTAGGCAGTCAATACCACTGCCTCACTGTCAATGAAGAAGTTCCTCCTAATATCCACTCTAAACCCAATTTCCTGCAACTTCAAGTCACCTACCCTCTGCAGAGATAACGAAGAGGGAAAACACCTTTTCTCTGGCAACTCTTCAGATATTTGAAGACTGATATCATGTCCCCACTGAAGTATCTTTGCTGCAAGCTGAACATGCCTATTTCCTTCAACCTCTTGTCATGACTGGTCTTCCAAGCCCTTTATCTTTTTTGTCACCTACCTCTGGACCCTCTCTAAGTTCGCCACGTCATTTTTAAAACATGAAGCCCCAAACTGTACATGACACTCTAGATGAGGCCTAACTGGTGTTTCATAGATTCATAGACATTAGGGCTGGAAGGGACCTCAGAAGATCATCGAGTCCAGCCCCCACCCAAAGGGCAGGAAGTCAGCTGGAGTCATAGGATCCCAGCAAGATAAGCATCCAATTTGCTCTTGAAGGTGTTCAGAGTAGGTGCTTGAACCACCTCCAATGGCAGACTGTTCCAGACCTTGGGGGCTCAGACAGTAAAGAAATTCTTCCTTATGTCCAGCCTGAAACGGTCTCACAGACCATTCGACCTCGTCATCCCTTGGGGCACTCTGGTGAACAAATGTTCCCCCAGATCCTGGTGGTCACCCTGATAAACTTATAGGTGGCCATCAGATCACCCCTGAGCCTGCTCTTTTCCAGGCTAAAGAGCCCCACGGCTCTCAGCTTGTCGTCATAAGGTCTGTTTTCCTGACCTCTGATCATGCGTGTGGCTCTTCTCTGGACTCTCTCAAGCTTCTCCACATCCTTTTTGAATTGTGGAGCCCAAAACTGGACGCAGTACTCCAGCTGCGACCTCACCAAGGCCGATTACAAAGGGAGAATGACGTCTCGGGATTTGCTTGAGAAGCATCTATGGATACAAGCCAGCATTTTGGTCACAGAAGCATCTATGGATGGAAGCCAGCGTTTTGGTTGTTTTGTGTAGAGAAGCACCATCACCTCCCTTGTTGTGCGCCTAATGCTTCTATTGATGCATCCTAAAAACTACATTCGTCTTTTGGGTAGCTGTGTCACACTGCAGACTCCTATCAAATTTGTGATCTACAAAGACTAGCAGATCTTAATTGTTCTATCCTCCACGTTCACAATCCTTCCCAGTTTCTTGTCATCTGCTAATTTGCTCAAAAAGTTCTTAATTCCATCATTCAAATCATTAAATAAACACATTGAACAGCACTGGGCCTAAGACAGATCCCCAACGGGACTCCATGCAAAACTTCTTTCAGTTGTGATATGGACTGCAAGTGGTGTCCCTTGATTTTAGTGAGGCTTTTGATATGATCTCCCACAACATTCTCCCAGGCAAGCTAAGGAAATATGGGCAGAACGAATGTACTGTAAGATGGATAGAAAATTGGCTGGAGTATCAGGCTCAGAAAGTAGCAATCACTGGCTTAATGTCTAGTTGGCAGGCATGATCAAGTCGAGTGCCTCAGGAGCCGGTCCTGGGGCCAGTTTTGTTCAATCAGTGCCCTGAAAGCATCAAGTGCACCCTCAGCAAATATGTAGATGACACCAAGCTGAGGGAAGCAGTAGATACGCAGGAAGGTAGGGTTCGGATTCAGAGTGACCTAGACATTGGAGGACTGGGCCAAAAGAAATCTCATGAGGTTCAACAAGGACAACTGCAAAGTCCTGCACTTAGGACGGAACAATCCCATGCACTAGTACAGGCTGGGGGCTTACTGGCTGGGCAGTAGCTCTGCAGAAAAGGGCCTGGGGGTGACAGAGGACAGTAAGCTGAATATGAACCAGCAGTGTGCCCTTGTTCCCAAGAAGGCTAACGGCATACTGGGCTGCATTGGTAGATATATTGCCAGTAACTCAAGGAAAGTGATTATTCCCCTCTATTCAGCACTGATAAGGCCACATCTGGAGTACTTGTTCAGTTGTGTGCCCCCCACCCCCCCAACACACACACGCTACAAAAAGGATGTGAACAAATTGGAGAGAGTCCAGCAGAGGGCAACCAAAATGGTGAGGGGGCTGGGGGACATGACCTATGAGGAAAGATTGAGGGAACTGGGCTTATTTAATATAGAGAAGAAGAGACTGAGAGGGAACTTAATAACAGCCTTCAACTACCTAAAGAGGAGTTTGAAAGAGGATGGAGCTAGGCTGTTCTCAGTGGTGGCAAATGACATAACAAGGAGCTATGGTCTCAAGTTGCAGCAAGGGAAGTTTAGGTTGCATATTGGGAAGAATTTTCTCACTAGGTGGGTAGTAAAACACTGGAACAGGTTACCCAGAGAGGTGGTGGAAGCTCCATCCTTGGAGGTCTTCAAAACCTGGCTAGACAAAGCTTTGGTTGGGATGATCTAGTTGGGGACAGTCCTGCTTTGAGCAGGGGCTTGGACTAGATGACCTCCTGAGGCCCCTTTCAAACCTAACTTTTTAAGATTCTATGATTCATTTAAAATCAAGTTTTATTGGAACGATTTATTCTCAATAAATCCATGCTAGCTGCTTGTGATTAGCCTTTCCTCCTCCAGATTTTTGCAAATGGGCTTCTTTTATGATGTGCTCCCAAAACCTCTGGGATCCTGATGTGAAGCTAACCAGTCTGTATCTCCCCGGGGCCTTCTTTTTCTCTCTCTCTCTTTTTTTTTTTTTTTTTAAGAAGGGCACTATACTGGACCTCTCCCAGTCCTCTGTACCTCCCATCGCTTATGATTTCATAAACATTATCTCCAACAGCTCCAAGCCCTCCTGTGCCAGTTTCT